GGGGGCGCGGTGCGGCGTGGGTGAGGCCCTGCCGGGCCGGGGGCGCAGCCGTGCGAACGCCTCGCCTGGCTTTGGTCTGAAATACTTCTAAAAGCAAACCCCGTGTTTCCATCGCTTTAAGAGGGCCTTTGTGTCAGAAAGTCCCGCCTGTGCTCGCTTCCCTGGAGGGACCGAGCGCGGAGGAGAGCTCGGGGATGAAGCGGGAGCATTGGGACCCTCCGCCCGCTTCCTCTCGGCGCAGGTGAGGGCGCGGCCCCTGTCAGGCACCGCGGATTTAAGGAGCGTCTCCAGAATCCTTTCGAAGGTTCAAAGCAGACTGCACGCTATGAAACGTGAAATACCGTTGAGGTCACATAATGCCTCAGCAAAACGTGGTTCACCGAGCGAGCGTACAGTGTTAAGAACAGTTCATCTCTTTCCTATTTAAATTACTCAAACAAATGGAAACGCCAGCACAGCAGGACAAATAGGTAGCTCAACTGTGAGCTCTCTTGTGGCTTTGGCAACCAGTATCTGGCTTGGCTCCAGTTCACCATTGCCGTCGTTATCCCACTGCATTTTTGTCCAAGCATCTATTGCATTAGGACAGGCGACTGCTCCTGCACCTCATCTGTCTGTCTGGACCCATTCCAGTGGAAACCAGACCAGAATCCTGCACATTCCAGGATGGTCTGAATGCTGCTCCTTTGGCTCCTGTGAACTCAGGAGAAGTACTGTAGGAACCAGCTCGAATTTCTGATCTTTGTTTGATCTGAAATTTGCAATTGTAGTATTTATTAGTTTGTGTTTAGTAGTTCATTTAATCTGAGTACGTAGTATACTTGCATGTATCTTTAACTTCATATTGTCACTCCAAGGCCTCAGCATCTGTCTGGATTGGAGATCATTCGAGATCTATGTGAGGGGAAGCTGGAAGGTGGAGAAATTGGCTCAACAGAAATAACCTTCACTCCTGGGAAGATCAAAGGCGGAACCCACATAGCAGATACAAAAACAGCAGGGTATGTTTTTGTACATGGATAATGACTGACCAGTAACTGCTCTTAACTGCTTTTGGTAACTTTGAAATTATGACAGAAGATGTTTTGGTAACTTTAAAATTATCACAGAAGAGCAGGGAAAAAAGTAATATTAATACATGCATAATGTGCCAAAATCTGTGCTGCCTGAGATGGATATATGTGACCAAAGAACCTTTAGGCAGAATACATATGAATAAAATACATGGAAGTGTAATATTTATAAAATTATAAATTATACATAAATTGAACACTTCATTAATGTTAAGCAAAAAATATCTGCCCATGTATTTAAAATTATCTGTTATTTTCTTACATTAGTACATTACATATCAGGTCAAATGCATCAAATTAGAAAAGTATCTCAAATCCCTGAAATCTGAAATAATCCTCACCATATAATAACGTAAATTTTAAGATTTTACTTGCACTTGTAGTGGTATAATATGGGATACTAGTCTTTTGGAACTGGAAGCATATTCTATCCATGGTTGGTTTTGCCTGTCTTTCTTCTATCCTGTATTTGTGTGTTGGGTCTTTTGTTCTTGGAATCTGTTGCAAAACTGAGTAAATGGGTTTAGCTGTGGAAGGCTGGTATGAACAGTTTGGAAGCTTAGCCAGGTTAGGCATAAGTTAAAGTTTCCTTTAAGTTAAGAGAAATATTTTTCTGAGCTGCAATAGTATAAACAACCAAGCTGATGCCTTTTACTTAACATAGCAAGGTAAGCAGAGTAAGCAACAATGCAGCAGAATTAATAATTAAGCACAAGAAAAAGAAAAAAAAGAGAGACAGTAAGGTTCACAAACATTTGGAAGTTACTTAAGAAAACAAAACGATGTTTTCTTCAGTTCAGTACTGTTTTCACAGTGCAAAATTATGTTTGAAACTCCTGTGAGATGTTCTGTTTTGCTGAACAAACTTACTTTTGGAAATTTTATTTTGCAAGTTTTTTATTATCTATGAAATGTGGAGAGATTCAATGATAGGGGAATCTTCTATCTAAAAGCAGATTTTCTGTGCCTCTGAGTTTTCTTGTGTGGGATGCTAACCAGCTTCTAAGCACTTCTGTAGTTTTTATAAATATTTTTTTATTAAATAAATATTAAAATGTTAAAATTGCTGCCTAAGCCTTTTCTGCTTTTATCATAGTGAAACCTAGAGTTTTCACAGTCCCATCACTGTACTAAGTAAGCCATATTACTTTTGTGTCAAACAAGAATGTTATAGATGCAATTATTGTGAAACAAAAACCTTCATATTATAGCTTGCTAAAGACATGAAGTTTTAAATTAGTATTTTTTAAGACTAATAAGGTTACTTTATAGATAATGTTCAAAATCAAATACTTGTGTAAATGCTCTGGAAAGTCATTTGCCTTTGATATGCAATGATTCTATGGAATTCTATAGATTATGACTGCATGACATTTGGGTATCTTGTAATTGTTTTTAGGAGTGTGTGTCTACTGATGCAGGTAGCAATGCCCTGTGTGCTGTTTGCTGCTTCCCCATCAGAACTTCATTTAAAAGGTGGGACTAATGCTGAGATGGCTCCTCAGATAGACTACACAGTCATGGTAGGGAAAAATTTCTTTGGCTTGGTGCATCTTTCTTGCATGTATGTACAATGTAACTACTGTACTTCTGTTGCTTTTACTGCAAGTTCATTTGAAATTACAGAATCAGGCATGGGAATGTAACAATATTAGTATACTGTATGTAGAGAGCAACCAGTGTTTCATGGAATTCCCCGAAACAGCAACTAGTCTGTTTGCTTTTAGTTACTAACGAAAATTTCACTTAAAATATATCTTTTACTCTAGAAGTGATGTGAATTGTTAAGAATTTATCTTCCTCTTCCTATAAGAACATCCTTTTACACAAAGTGTCATTCAGAATAAAGTATAAGGAATGTCAAATAAGCTGTATGGATGACACTGGCTATTGTTTTTTTATAATGTAACTGCAGTGTTTGTGTTGAGCTTTTTTTTTTTTTTTTCCTTAAGATTTCATAAAACAGTGGGAAATTATAGATGTAAAATAGATTCACTCTGTGGTTTGATTTATGCTTGTTTTCCAGGTTTTCAAGCCAATAGTTGAAAAGTTCAATTTCACATTTAATTGTGACATAAAAAAGAGGTGAGTTATCGAGACATGTGGCAGAGGCAGGCCTTACTGAAGCAGTGTGTGAGCACAGAGGCATGTGCACAGGGTGCCCTCAGTCAAGCTGAGGGATGAATTTATAATACAGGAACTAACCTGCATTAGCTGCCCCTGTGTGTACTGTAACCATATGGTGAACGTGATACGGTTCTTTGCTGTCTTTTTTTTTTTTTAATATTGCTGAGTCTTTAGCTCTGTTTAATGTTTCCTATGGGCTACGCCTGAGGGAAGTGCATGCTGAACAGTCAGTACATTACTGAGCTTTTTCTGCGGTGTCAGTTATGGTGGTGTTAATATAGTTAATAATATGTGTGTTATGAGGTAATACTGTTAGAGAACCCAATTCTACTATAAAGATTTCTAAGCCACACATCAAGAAAATTTGTACAGTAACAGAGAACATAAAAATATATAATAAAATATATGAAGAGCCTTCTGGCTCTTTTCCTTCTGATCTCTAATCACTTATATTTGATTACCATTTCTAAATAGGGGCTACTACCCTCAGGGAGGTGGTGAAGTTGTAGTCCAGATGTCACCAGTCAAAGTGTTGAGCCCAATAAACTTAACAGAACGAGGCATGGTGACAAAGATATATGGAAGAGCATTTGTTGCTGGAGCGCTGCCTATAAAAGTAAGTGTTGATAATAGCTCTGGTAATATCCAACTTCATATATTTCCATAAAATTGCATGTAATCTGCTTAACATACCTCTACTGTTTCTGTATTCTGTGGTGTTTCACATGCAAACTAAGTAGCCTTATTAAATGGTTTCCATTATTCAGGCTGTAGAATAGAATTATTCCTAAAATCCATTTATTGCATGGCAATATAGTAGTGGCTAAAATAGGAGATGAGAACGGTATCCTTAATAATCAGATCTAAGATACCCCTCTGTATATGCTAAAGACTTTTGAACAGTCATATGCATAGATTTATGGGTAAACTATGGTGCACTGTAATAGGCAGAGGTCAGACTACATCCAATTCTTCAACCATTCTTAAGGGTATTAGACACAACAAGTTAAGGGTAAGTTTAGTCAAAGAGAAAACAGAGAGAAATTTGCTCCTTTGTACCCCCTTCTTTCTATTATTCCTATCCTGTCTGTGTTTACAGGCACTGAGTGGTGGGATCTCCTTAACACTCCTTCACACACAGGCTAGGAAGTAGTAGAGAAAGGAAGAGGAGAAACCAGTTTACTTTTTGAAGAGCTGTGGACTGCTGGTTTTAGTCTTAAAATCTCCAAACCTATGAATATTGGCTATGATTGGATCACAGGGCTGGGATAAGCGTCATCTGCCCCCACCTGCCTGTGATTTAAAATTGTTGTTTTCTATATTGTATCTTATACAGTATATCCTGTGCAATAACAATTGTGGGGTGTTGGATTATGATGTTTGGTTATTTTTACCATCTAATGTCTCGAGATAATCAAGACTAAATTCCAATCTTCCTCTCTACAAATGGAGAAAAGTTCTTGAATTTCTCTTGATATTGAAGCTCCTACATACATCACTGCAATTGTCATTTGTTCAGTATTTAATGTTACCTTAATTTTGTGGGAACATTCTCAGAAAAGATGATGTTTGGTTCTTGCTTGTAGTGGTTTTATAACATTCCTTTGTTTTTCTTGTTAATCAAATAGACCGTTTATTCAGGGATTCACTGTAATTATTAGACTTATGAGGAAAAAGTATTACTATAGTTACATAAATTAATTAATGTTTTTACCTCTTCTCTTGTTAGCTGGCAAAAGACAT